CAGGGGCAGCAAGCTGTGAGCACTATCCATCGCTGAAGGTCACATCAGATGGGAGCCATATGGCATGATGGGCTAGATGGGCCGTCTGGGCCATCAGGTTCGCCAGTCCTGAATGGCCGACCTCTTCGGACGACAAACCCAGCCTTATCAGAGCTCATGACGTCAGGATAGTGTCTACCTCATGGAAATACTTACGAGGCATCCCAATGGAGGACATATGCAAGGCAGAATGCAGAAAGACACCCTCATCATTCACGGTATGCTACCTGAGTGACGTGTTGTAAAGAGACTGTTCCCATGGCAAGACAATCCTGTCAGCTGTGCCGAGGCCTCGAGGACCATCACCAAGGTAGGTCACAGCCAGTTCTACCGAATGGCATCCTCCTCTCATTGGTGAGTCCTCAACATTCCCTTTTTTTCTTTCTAATTGTCCGAGACCTAATTAATCACATCATTTTTTATCACACTAGTGTGCCTTTGCCAACCCTCCTCCGGAGTATGGTGCTGTAAGCCCAGTATCAGTCATCATTCACTCTTTGATCCAACTCCATTCAATTTCTTTCTAATTAAGATCTTGATGAGTTCCCATATGTGGTAGATTTCCAAGTAGCCCCTTCACTCCCCAAGACACTTAGGCCATAATTTTACGACTAAGTCTGACCACAGGTTCTGGAAGTTATACCGCCCAGCCTGCACCCCACTCTGTATAATCACCCTCAGAATGTTTCATGGTCAGCCGTCTTTCAGTCTTCCCTCGGTCATCAGACATCGCTCGGTCCTGCTCCATCACTGTTCAGTCTACACTTCCAATGATATTAGTCTGTGTTTATGAATAAAACACTTTAGACCCGATTATCATTGTGAAAGTATGATTTCTTCAATTTCAACTTTGATCACATTAATAAATTCAAAGCCAGACCCACACTTTACAGTGCTGCTCTGCTAAAGTAGTGACTGTTTGGGTAGGATGAGTGCCGTGGACTCCTCCCCCCCCCACCCAAAACAGGGGGGGAGAGCCAATTAGGTAATACCTACCCAAACAGTCTATGTCTGCCCGTCCTCCCCACTCTTGCTCAGCTCTTACACTCCTAAAAGGGATGAACATGGTGGCAGCGCTGCACTGCATTGTAGCATTAAAGAGCACACTGTGGTTGAAGAAAGTTTTAGCGAATGACAGAAGGTGTGAAAGGAAATTTGCTAAATTAGCAACTGTTTGGGTATGTCATATATTGAGAGATAGAAACTGACACGAGGTCGAAAAAATGGCTACCATATTAGAAGGCCATGACTTATTATATTGAGCATAATGCATAGTCATATATAGAGGATGCACTTCACATTTTGTGGTGTACATTATCTTGTACATACTACACTTCTCCCCTCTTTACAGTGGCGGGCTAACTTGTGAATACATGTCTTGGATCCTATTGATACATGTTGTTAGTTTTAAAATTCTGAAAGAAATAAACTAACACATAATTTTACAATACATGCTATTTTTGGTTAAGACTGTTTGTTTGTAAGGTTGTTTGTTTTTGTTACAAATTTAACTTCACTAGTGCCTTACAATTTCGCAGTGGGTATCATCTTTCCTGAATGCTAGTAGTACTACCCATCCTTCCCACACTTTTTTTTTCTGGTACTGGGTTTGTGAACACTGGTTGGTCCTGAGCACCACTTTCATCTGAACTAGTTTGAATTTCTGTCTCCTTTGATTTAACCTAGTGTTTAATGGACTGCCCCATTTCTCTAATACTTGTACTGTCATCTTTGTCCCCAATCATACCCAGTAGTGGAGGACAGTCTACTGCTGTTGCAACAACACTGTGAGTTTCCACATTTTCTTGTGACTGCAATACATGGTCGGTGTGGATGGTTTTTCCATTGCCATACATGTTTACCAGATATGTACAAGGGCTGCAAACCTGCAGTACTGGAAACCACTTCACCATACCGCCAAAATTACTCTTGACCCTCTTGACTCTTATTCTGTGGCTAAGTTCTAGAACTTGTTCCTTAACTCTACCCTCATCATGGTACTCACTGTGTTTTTGTTGATTTTCTCTCACATATTGTACCAAGTTTGGTTTAAGTAAGAGAACCTAGTTCAGGGATGTCTCTTTAAGAACAGTTTAGCTGGAGTTTTCCGGTTGTAGACTGTGACATGTTACGGTAACAAATTAAAAATTTGCCAACTTGGAATGGATTGACAGATCTTGTTTTCTTGGATCAAGCATCTACTGAATGAGTGCCCTTTTGACAGTTTGAACAGTGCGTTCTGCAGCCCCATGGGAGGCAGGATGGTAGGGTGCCACACGTTTGTGTTTTATTCCATTTTTATTCAGAACTCCTTAACGTAGTAAAACCTGAGGGCCAAATATCTGATACTATTTCCTCTGGAAGGCTGTATGCACTGAACAATCATTGCAATGTATCTGGTATCTTACTTGTTGTCGCAGTAGTCATGGGATAAACTTCAACCCACTATGAGTGGCTGTCTATGGCAATAAATAACTGCAAATATGGTAATAAATAACAAAATCAACATGTAACTCTGCCATACAGGAGTTTGCCACATCCAACTCTGTAAGGGTGCAGATGGAGGGGAATTCCAAACAGATTGGCATGTACTACACTGATTTTCCAAATCTTGGATGTCCTTTTCAAGACCTGGCCACCATGCTAAGATATAAGAGATAACTCCATGCAAATGCTTTTAAATGCTGTGACAAATTCCAAGGTATTTTTCATGCAAATCATTCAACAATATGGTTCTAAATTTGGTCGGAATGACAACTCTGAGGCCCTGCACTACACATCCCTTTTCAACTGACTACTCATTTCTACGAGCATAATAAGACTGCATATCTTTGTCTCGTACATGATTGGGCCAACCATTCAAAGTGTACTACTTCTCTGACGGATCCTCTGCATTAGATGATTTTCATCTGATGCTGAGTGGCATTTCTTTGCCACATCTCATGGCAAAGGACCTTGTGATGGATTGGATGGAACTGTAAAGCATTTGGCTTCAAAAGCCAGTCTGCAGAGGCCCTACAAAGATCAAATCTTAAATGCACATCAGCTCTATATGTGGGCAAAGGTAAATATTCCAGCAATACATTTCAATTATTTGGACACAACAGAAGTGGAAGAATGTGAAGAATTTCTGGAGAACAGATTCTCATCAGCAGTGGCTATCAAGGGCAGTAGACAGCTGCACACATTCTCTCCACATCTATTTCTGCGATCACACCTTCTAGTGACACACATTTCAATGGAAATTAGCACTAAGTGTGTGAGAATCATCAAAGAAATTTAGTAAAAGGAATATAAGTAAAAAAGGAATTTTGATTGCGACGTGTAGTTTAAAGTGGTTTTCTAAGAACAGACCATTTGCTCTTACTAATAACTTCAGTTGTTTCATTTTAGGAGCAGAACTTCCACCGTTGGAACTTGTACAAAATTCTTACGTTGTTGATTGACATAACTATAGAAAAATGGCCATAACTTTTTGATTTTAGAGTGCTCAGAAAGATTGAATTGGATACTACTAAAGCAGGAACCATACTTTCAAACGCATTTTTTTTTTTAAATTTAATGATACTTTTTTTAAATGGGTCAAAGGTCACAGGTATATGTCAAAAGGTCATTATGATCCTTGATTCATAAAACCAAATTTTCACATTATCAGTGAAAAGAACATGTATTTTCGATTATTTTGATACTAAATTTGTAAATATTTGATGAAAATTTTGAAAGTTATGTTTCATTTTTACTTAAAAGGTAGATTTTTAAGTTAAAACTGTCCATTTTTTGGACATCTCCCCTGACCACATGGAAGGATGGATTCCTTTAAAAATTGGCATGTATTCATTTTTCATTGGTGTCTACAATCACAGCACTTTTTATAAAAATCTGAAGACCTAAGGTCAAAAGGTGTGTTGGTCTGACATGGAATGACTTATCTGCAAGTCCTTATTTTCAACTGTTCCAATTGGCATGAGTTCCTGAGTGTGTGTTGTTAAAAAAAAATGAGTTACGCTGAGGTGGCAAGAGATGGCGATGCCTATCAGATACAAGTAAGGATTTTGCAAACTTTAAGATGAGTTGTTCTCTACACTGACATAATGAATCAATTTTAAAAAACACCAATAATGCACAGTATGACAAAGTGGTTGGATAACCAATTATACTTGGAGCATGTTTCTGCACTCCCTCAATGCTTTGGTTCATAGCATTTGTGATCCCTGAAGACCATGTGACAAATCCAACTTGCAATAGAGGATAATATATAATTTGTAAATTGTTAGTAAGTCGGACACTGTCACCTGATTGCTCCTCAACTTACTCAAAATGTACAACCTACGTGAAGCATTTCTAATAATGTAGTTAACATGTAGATCGCACTTGAGATCATTTTGTATGTTAACACCAAAAAGTTTCAAAGAAGGTACAATACCGAATTGCTCACCATTAACTTGTAAATTAACAGGAGTTGGCACATTGCAGAGAAACGAAAACTGCATGACCTTACATTTGGATAAATTTAATTTCATATCATTTGTGTGACACCAATCCACTAAGGAATTTATGTCAGACTGTGAATGTGAGTGGCCGCCTAGGGGGACAAACTTAAGCACACTGATATCATCGACATTGAGTATTGTAACAGTAACCTAAACAGGCCCAACTGCCAGTAAGGGGGACTAACTATATTTCTATTAAGTTAAATAGTTTAATATTAAAAAAATCAATAAGAATGCAACAAAAGAAATTAAAGTTATACCTTCAAGCAATTGAATTTATTAATTAATAGGTGCTTTTTTAACCAATAGCAAAACACCAGGGGAGGGCGAGTTACAAACTGAAATGGTGTGAAACTGTGTAAAATACTAGTAGATGTAGGACGACTGCAGTGAAACACCGTAGTCTGGGCATGGCAGGGGGAACGAGCACAAGGTAAAACTACTTAGGAAAATAAATTAGAACATACTCACAGAAAGACTGGGCAAACCATCGAACCGTTTCCAGAACAATTAACTGTAGTGGTGGTGTAAAGAAAAGAGAAAAGATGTTTCATTCATGTAAGGATCCTGCAGCAGGAACTAAAATGGAAATAGGGGAACAAAGTTACACGCCACCATCCATCACCATGCCCCAGCCATAAATCCACACCTACTGACCTAACAGGCAGCTTTTATAAGCACACAGAGAAAGTTATGTAAGAAATGTTGCACCACTGCTAATAGAAACAAGAAAAGGAATTCTTAAGACTGCAATGAACAAACCAAATTAGCATTACTGAGGAACAGAGAGCCAGGCCAGGGCTCCACGGTCAAATAAAATATCAAAAGATTAACGAACAATAAGGGCCTGCAGCATTGTGGCCAGACCACTAACATTTTAAAGGAACTTACTCCTTAACTTAAAAAAAAGGAAAAGACCCAAATTTTGTACTAGTATTTAGAGCAGCATCATTGATCATGGCCAGAAAAGAATTGGTCTTAACTTAGTACCCTGAAGAACCCCACAAGTTAAGTTCAGTGGAGATGAGGATATCCCTGATATTTAACACTTGAGTCCAATCAGCAAGAAAACTAAAAAAGAATTGCCGGATTAACCCCAAACCCAATGAGTTCTTCAGCCACTTTAGTGTGGTTAATATGGTCAAAGGCCTTGCTAAAATAAATTGTATACAAATTGACACAGACACATGTATTACATCAAGCATATCAATAAGATAATGTGTGACAAAACTATTCTTCATGTTGCCATACTGTTGAGGATCAATGTTACACCTGACATTACTCGTAATCCACCCGCTAAAAACCCTCAAAAATTCTTGCAATGATTGGTGTCATAGATACAGGTCGTAATTTATCCAAACTGTTAGCACCAGTTTCCTTCGGTACAGGACAGACAGAAGAATTTTCCAGACCATCGGAAAATGACCGAATTTAAGACAACAGTTGAAAATATACATTAATGGTTCAGATATTTAACCTGAAACCGATAAATTTTTGGTGGCAGGGGAGGTGCAGGTAAGTATGCTGTCAATTGATGAATGTCAAGTGGTGGGAGACTTTAACAGATTGCAACAAAATGTCTATTCAAGTCATTGGCAACAACCAGATGAGTTTTATCTGCAAATGTAAGAAAAAAAATGATTTTTTTTAAACCAGCCAAATGTCGAATTTGTCTGTACCACTTTCCTGGCTAAGTATGTTTTAAATGAGCATTTTTTTTTCCTTGTAAGAATTTCTTTTGGCTGACCTTATCATTCTGTGCACCTTGTTTCACAGTGATCTATAATACTTAACATGCTGTTAAATGCAAGATCATCTTGCACAATTTACTGTGCTTATTCCATCATTCAACCATGGTTTATCGTCAGGTTTACGCTTAATACTGACCAATTCAAAACACCATCGATAATTAACACCAATTATTTCATGGAATTTTTCCACCATGCTGTTTGGATCTTTAACAGAATAAAAATCCAAACATTCTGACCATTGGATCATGGAAAGGCCAGAACGATATTCTGAAAAGTCTTTGAGTTGGAGCAGTCTGCAGTGATTTAAACATGACAACAGCATGGTCTCTGTGACTAATTTAAATATTGATAGGGTCACTGCAGAATTTAAAATGGTTGTTAGGTTTCTTGTGTTCACAGATTCCAGAACCACAACAGTTAACACATAGGCTTTCTGTTTACCATGAGTGCCTTTGTAATAAGCATTATACAGGTTTACCATTTGATTGCACTCGATACAAAAAGAACAATGTTTACGATTTATTTTTTCTTTAAAATCAGAGATAGCTTTATGTGGCATTTATTGCAAACCATCGTTTCCATTTTATTTTATTTTATTACTGTAAATATACCGGTAATATATTTTAAAATCTTTTTTACAAAAGCACATGAGACATAGGTGGTTTGTTTTTTGTGACAAGTTTATTGCATTTCACATTGAGCAAGTACCGCTACATAAAACCAGGAACCACATCGTTCTCATTTGATGTCAAACGACCCAAGATCTTTCCAATAAAACAACGTGAGCCAAGCTGGTTTTTTCTTAGTAGTCTTTGAGCACCAAGTTCTGTGTTTGAGTCAATAGCACACAGGAATGTTGATAGTGCCTGCCAGAAAAAGCCATTTTTGGTTTTGAGAGCAATTTTTTGTTCATGATATTTGATCTGCTACTTGGAACTACAGTTGTTGACAATTGACAGCGTCTCAGTGCCGTCAAACACATTACGAAACAAATCAATCAAGCTCGAGCTTGAAAGAGCGTTTAGCTCTGCCTGGAACAATCACGTCTTCTACCCCCAATGGACGAAACCACAGCTATGATGCTTGGGCCACTTCACTCCTTTCAACTTCGATTGCTCTTGGAACTTTGAGACGACAGTTTGGATTGAGCTTCTTGCCGTAATTTGTGTTGTTTTTCATTAATTTAAATATTAAAAGATTGTTTAAAGTTAAAAAGACAAAGGATAAGAGTTCTTGAGAGTTTTTGTTTTTGAAAAAAAAATTAATTTTTTTGAGTTTTTGTTTTAAAGATGGCAAGTGTTTTAATGATGGTTGGTGGCGCGCTGGCATTCATGGGGTTGAGTTTTTGTTAAACAACATTTTGCAACAATGAGTTGATGAAGAACGAATTAGCCTTGGAACAACTGGCCCAAGCAAAACAACAGGGGAAGCAAAAAAGAGTTCGTCTTTTAGTTTTTCTTAAACGAGCGAATTCGTGAGCAAAAGATTTCAGAGCGAAGGTTTGAAAACATGAACAAAGTTTTGATGGCGTATCTGCCTCGACCTGAAGTGCACCCCCAATCAGTGAAAAGAAAGACAGGTACAAGCAGCTTCTTGCACGTGTTCTGCTTGCACGCAAAGACCATGCATGATGGAGTAAATTAGTTACACGTACTCAGCATGCTCTGCGTCAAACGCGCATATACTTGCGCTCCTCAAGGCGCGTGTATGCAGTGAGTCTCAAACATCGATCTCCATTAAATCTGGAAGGGTTGTCTAGCACCGTTTAAAAAAAATAAATTTTTTCTTACATTTGCAGATAAAACTGATCTGGTTGTTGCCAATGACTTGAATAGACATTTTGTTGCAATCTGTTCAAGTCTCCCACCACTTCACATTCATCAATTTCATTCTGCAGAAAAGTGTATTTACATTCAGATACTACCAATGGAAAATGGTTTTTCGAACACTGAGGCATGGCAGAATGATTGAACATTGTTGCTTTGTTCATGGCAATGAAAGACTATGGGCGAAATTCCATAAATGGACAATACTTGAGGCCCTGTGGACTAACCTATGAGGACTGTCTGAAAAAAATCTTTTCTAAGTAAACACTTCAGAATTTTCTTTGCTAATTTCATTCTGGGGACATGCTATAGTGGCAGAGCCAGCAAAGAGTTTGCTGCTGTTATTAACCTTAACAATCCCAAATCCTCCAATTTTAATATGATTTTACATACACCCTAGGGGGTTAGGGTTAAATCCATGTCTTTTCATAGTAGTTCCTCTATAAAAATGTGAAGTTTTAGTTGCCCTGGTTGCCCTGTTTTTGGTTGATGTTTCCCTCGTTAATTTACTTTGACCCATGCGTCAACCCATATAACTTGACACCTATGCTCTGACCACACTTAGTTTGAAGAGCAGACCAGCAGAGACACTATCACTGTTCATGTATTTGTTTCTCCTCACTGGATTACGCGTTTCTGTTTGAGTCAGGTTTCTGTCTGCTTCTAAAGAGTTAGTGATCAAAAGCCAAACTCTCCTCACAAGATCTATTTGACACACTGTGTTGGGTTTGGTCCTTTTAAAGTTTCAGTCTTTTGGTGTTCATTATTTTAGTCTAGTAGTCCTTTTGGATTTCTCAATTTTTGTGTGTGTTCTTCATGAAAAAACTTGTTTTCTGTCCTTTTTTTAAGCCATATATTGGTGCCTGAGTCCCTATTAACACAGTTTCCTGAGACCTTTTCCTCGAAGATCCTTGGTTTTCAGGAAGGTTTCCTTCGCTAAATTTCATTCTGGGAACATGCTATTGTTGCAGAGCCAGAAAAGAGTTTGTTATTAAATCCATGTCTATTCGTAGTAGTTCCTCTATAAAAATTCGAAGTTTTAGTTTAGAGTTGCCTGAGACCTTTCCCTCAAAGATCATGGTTTAGATAGAGATTTTTGTTGTTTTGCGAGTTCCCCCATTGCATGTTAGTTTTCAAGGTTACACTATCACTTTCTGACGGCTGTTATAAATTTTAAGGAAAATTAGTGTTGTCCTTATGTGGATCTCTTTCCCCAAAATATTAGCATCAAATCATGTTCAGTTTTAAAATTGTTTTAACTAATTTCATGCTTTTTCTTCCTCCATGTGATGTTCAAAGGAAAACCAGCTCAGTAAGGAAGTAGAATAAATTTGTGAACGAGTAAGATTGAACTGCAAACTGAGCACTCAGAATACATATAATACACGTAGTCAAGAAGCACTTGACAATCATAGCCAGACACGACACTTACCTTATCAATAACTACAGATTCTTTCAGAAATCTAAGGTTTCTTTGTGCGCCCAGGAGTAGGGGAAATCTAGGCTATAGGTGACGTAAATGTGCATGTTGTTCCTCTAAGCATAGGCTGGTAGTTGAACATTTCTCGCAAACTATACGAGTAAACAACAAAATTCCTTGTTTTTGTGGGATGTGTCAAAGGGTCATTACTTATTTTCAACATTTGCATACATTTACATACATTTGCATTTGGTTCGGCTCATGAAAAGAGTGACTCTGAAACTAAGTCACTCTAGTGTCGTTGCAAACACCTTCAAGTGCCGATCTTTTGCCTGTTAGCACACCTGGTCGCTCCTAATTGTTTCAGACGTTGAACTTTTGCCGTACTGAATTCAAAATTTGCTTTTAATTTGGTTTGGCACTAGAACGCCTGTCTGAAATGGGTGTCTGTCAGTTTTGCATGGTACCCATTATATGTTTTGAGCATAGGCTATCAGGGAATTCAATCAGTGACTACAACAGACTCATTCCCGTTCCAGCAGTGTATAAGGTAATGCGGGGACTGCTAACCAGCCTATATAAATATAGGGAACGTGCAGTGACGTGTGAGCTGTAACCACGCCACCATTTTGGACAGCAGCGGCGTACGTACTCACACAATGTTTAGTACTAGTAGTACATGTATCACGAGTGTAAGTTCGCTACATCGTGTTTTCATCATACATTGCCTGCGTTATCGCTGAAATATGTCGAAATGAGTGCTTCCTTGTCAAATGATACGTTATCAAAGTATACCGAGAGTTTAGATGGTGATTTCAGGGATCAGTATTTGAGTAAATGCTCATCAATCGAGGTGCAGGACCTATACAATTTGCCCGCGAGTATTTTCAAGAATCTGCAAAGCTTCGGTTCGGTTGGCACAGCGGAGGGCCTTCTGGAGTTGCCTATCACGATGTCTACACTTACCTGGTTCATCAACAGTCTTACTACACAGGAAAAGAGCTGAAAGCCTACAAGAGTTTGGAGGCTTACAAGTATTTTGTGGCTGGATGGGTCTCCAGTATCCAGCTGTGGAAAGTTCCTCACAAGCATGACGAGACAATGTATTGGTCATGTCAAGGGTATGTACATGTTGTAACGTTTAAATAGACCTGGGCATGATACTGTGATAGGAGCTAGCACATCTAGGGGTATGATTTGTATCACACGATCGGCACTAATTTTCCTTGTACTTTTAGTGACCTATCGGATATCATTAACTCGACGTAAAAGTCAATTTTAAGAATGAAAATTTATAGGTGTTGTGTATATGGTGTCAAGTGCCAGTCGTGTATGGAAATCTTTCCAGCTATGTCAATCTTTTTTCAAAAAAATTTAATAGGCCAAGTTGACAATTTCTTTAGAATTTCAAAAGTCTGTTTTCTATTTCGAGGAGTTGATTCCATGAATTCCGTCTCACTTTTCCTCTATTACAAAAAATCATTGGCCCTAGTTGTACAGCTTTGGACGACTCGTACTTTAGCATCTCATACCTTCGCCAACTCGTACCTTTGTCTCTGACAACTCGTACCTTATGTTAAGTAATGCAGCGTGACAAGTCAGATGTGCGTACTAAACGACTTGACTTACTGTAGGCGTGACGGTACAACAAGTTATTTTGCAAGGTACGAGTTGTCCAAGGTAGGCGTTGCTGTTCCGCAGGGTACAAGTTGAAAGATTTTCATCCACGACTGTCACTTGATCCCCTATGCACAATCCTACTTGTATGAGACTTGTCTAAAACATTCTGTTTCCTTTGAAAATGCTTCAATATTTTCACTGCTAAGCTTGACTTTTAAGTTTTAAGACACGGTAGTGAGTTTTTACATGTACAGTTTGTATCAAATCAAGCTCCATGCCTGACCTTACTTTCACAAATGTATTCCTGCCTACTGCAAAGTGCAACATGTCCTGTCCTGTCCTGTCCTGTTTTGGTTTGTTTTTCAGGTTGCACATTCCCAATCCATCTCATCACCACCCCTGAAACCCTGGATCATTGTGGAGAAGGATGGCACCGTTGAAACGGCCCACTGCACGTGTATGGCGGAACTGGGCAAAGCCTGCAGCCATATTGCTGCTGCAGTAAAGATGCTAAAGGAGAGAGCATGCACGTCACTACCCTGCACGTGGTTGGAGCCTTCAGGGGGACGCGTGAATTTTGCTGAGGGAAACGAGATTGACTTCACAAGCCCTTCACGTAAGAGGACATTTACAATGTGTAACTCTCCAAAATGAAGCGTTCAATCCAGAGACATTCCAGTGCCAACTTTTTAAGAAGCAAGTATTTTGTATGATGCTATCAAGGCAAGTGGGGTTAGAAGTGCCATTCTGGCTGTAGTCCCGAAGTATGAAGCAGAGTATATCTGTAAGGCAATTGCCTTAAACTTGCCGGAACCGCTGGCACAGCTATACAAGGATGAATGGAGCAAGCTGTCCTGTCCGGAGTTAGCTAAGTGTGCAAGGATGTCGTCTTCAGGATCAGAGTAACAAAGGGACAGGTACATGTATGGATTGGCATGTTGTCAATAGTCAAATGGGAAAGATTTCCATATACTACTGTCACTCATTTTCCTCCGTAGTGACTTACAAGCCCCTAGATAGTCATTACATATCATCAAAGTCAATTTGAGCATTTAGAAATCGTAAGCAATTTCTTAGCAAACACTTAAGAATTGTCAGACCCATCCCATAGGGCTTGTACACAGGATATTGAGTGAAAGTACGTGTAGTATGTGGAAATCTTCTGTAAACTGTGAAGTGGACAGATACCGGTATATTGATGGCAGTTCATAATTGTATTATTTTCCAGGCTGAATGCATTGAATCAGAGACTCGGCTCCAGTCCAGCAGAGATGTGGACGTATTACTGCATCCAACTTCAGGTCTGCCTGCCAAACACACCCTACCAATCCATCTGTGTTACTCATCAAACGGATATGCTACCCTGAGGCCTTCAAGTTCCAAACTTCTGCCACCAGGTAAGTACATTTTTAATTTATCTTTCTACAGTGATGAGTGAAATGGTACAAAAAGCTTATTCACTTACTTATACATGCAAACATTGCATGTAGATTTTGATGAAAACTACTGAAATGATAAATTCTTATTGGGAGTTGCTCTATTCGGTGTTTGTTGGCAAACGACCAGAGAGTTTTGAGCCATATTTCGTGTTGCTGCTTTGTAATGCAATTGAAGAAGAAACATTGTAAATTTGAGAACTGATCCCTTTGCCCAAATGTTTGATTGAATTTGCAGATGTAAAGTTGTAAATATGTAGAGAGAATGCCAGTAGTTACAATGTTTTTATTGGTCTTTGTTCTTCTACCAGGTGGGGCTGTGAACGTGAAGAGAAGGCCCGTTCGATGTATGCAGACTACCAGAGTCAAGTGCATGAGGGATGTGAAGTGACCGATGCTGGCCTCTGCCTCCATCCATCGTACCCTCACTTAGGAGCATCCCCTGATGGAAAAGTCAAGTGTAAGTGTTGTGGGGCTGGCATACTGGAAGTCAAGTGTCCATTCCGTTTGAAGAGCTGTTCCCTTGAATCAGTAGCAGAGCTGAAGGGATTTTGTCTCCAGCCTGATGCTGAAGGAAAACTGAAATTGGACCTCTGCCACCAGTACTATTAGCAGGTACAGCTTCAACTCGTCCTGACTGAGGTCAGATATTGTGACTTTGTTGTGTGGCGGCAGGATGGTACAGGCCAAGAAATCTTCATTGAACAAATACAGATGGATAATGACTTCCTCAGAAGCTGTTTATCAGCCGCACAAGAGTTTTATCTACAGGGTATTCATCCAGAGTTGCTTGGGAAGTGGTACACACAATCCAGGAAGTCCCCTCCTGGAGAGGCCCTTCTTGGAACGACGAAGCCATGCTACTGCCAAAATAGTCAGGTGGAGGGCAATGTTTTGGTGTGCCAGTCGAACATTTGTAGAATTAAGAACTTTCACCAGACATGCCCGGGACTCAAAAATTGCCAAATAGAAAGTGGTTATGTCCAGACTGCAGAGTACATTTAGCAGCCAAGAAGAGAATTTGAAAGTAGACATCCACTCAACACCCTGCAAACATTGGAATGACATCCTTTGCTTTACTACCAGTTCTCTATTTAGTTAAATTAAATATTTGCAGATAAAATTGCATGTACCTATGCTGTAGTGTTCTGTTTTTTTCCCTGAATTGCGACTATATGTCATAGTCTGGAGGGGGGCAGTGGCTTTGGACTTATTTTTATTCTGTAGTATATCCATGGAACCATTTCAGGGAATTCTGGAGTTGAGTCAAGAATTGCAGTTGTCTTCATGTTGCTTAAACAATTTATTGTACATGTTCATATACGATTTAAATACATCTATAAACTACTCTTTGATGAATGATGCTAAATTCACCACTTCAGAAGCAATTCATGTACTTTTTTTATTACTCAAGCCTTTCTTGTTAACCCTTTCAATGTTCATTCAATTAAACATGAATTTGACATTTCCATTATTTCTGTTTTTCTTTGTGTACTTCTTTGTCTAACTGGTTCTGGGCAAAGAATTTTTTACAAAATTCACTCCTTAATCAAAAGGCACAACTGATTCCAAAAGGTTGGTAAGTGCACAAGCTACATGGACTATTTTGTCAAGTGTTGTTAGATTATGTTGGTCGCTAAGCAAATACGTGATTGGAACATTTGATTGCAGCATGGTGTATTTTTGCCTTGTGAAACCAATCACACGCTCCATGTGGATCCTTTGGGAAGCAAGAACTCGTGTGGCCTCCACATTCAATGGATTCAACTGTTGTTTGCCCTTTGTAAAGGCAGGAATTTTGAGAATGGCATTAAATAAGCCAACAAAATCCCCAACATCAAAGCCTCTGTCGGCTAACATAACATCACCTGGAATCAATTTTTCCAGAAATCCACAATTATTTGTGATGTATTTATCACTGGTCCTACCTCCCCAGCCTTTCGAAATGTAAGAAATGCAACCCTGAGGTGTTATGCCAATCAGATACTTCATGGTATTATGTGATTTGTAGATGGAGTATTTCTGTGCCCTAGCTTTTAGATTACTGGCTCTCTCTATAAAAATTTCAAAACAGTCAATGATACATGCACAATGTTTGAATGTCTTTGGGAATGACATTGGCATGGACATTCTCAACTGCTCACGGTCACGCCACATTACTAAAGCAGGCACCAAATGACGGTCCATAACATGAATGACATCATTAAAAACCTGCGAGATTGTTGACCTGGAAACACCAAAAAGATATGAAATGAACTGCATATTGAGGTTACATCGTAGTTTCATACATGTCATTAACACTTGATGAAAAGGGGTGAGAATGTTTTTTTCATGAAGGTACCCAAGCACATTATTCACGATAGCAATAAGCATCAAATATGAAGGAAGTCCCGTCAAGTCTTTCACTTTAGTGTCATTGTCTTTGAAGGAATCCTCATCCAGGGACAGAGATTTTCTTTCAGTAAGAAAACCTCCTGCCTCAAATTTTGACATTCTGCCTTCAGAACTTCCTCAGAAACTGTTGGATTTTCATCTTCACTTTCCTCCTGTGGTTCCAGAGCTTCATCTTTTTGAGGAACTGACTCCTGTTTATTTACCGCGACATGTAGCTTGAGGAGGGCTTCAGCTTTAGTAGACCTCTGTTGCTCCTCATTCTTGCGTCGCTTGGTGTTTTGTCTTTGTTCAAACTGCTCCACTTCTCCCACCTTTTTCCTCTTCTGCGTTGAGGTAACGAAGCAGAATAAGGATGGCACGTAGTTGGATGATAGGGGGTTATCACTCTTTTTACCTACAGAAATAGAATGTCAAAATACATGTTATGATACAGTGTTTAACATGCAAAAATTGGTGGGCAGATTCCAATGTAACATGCAATGGAATCATAAACAAAATTGAATCTTAATTCTATCCACTCAAAACATTCCATCAACATCAAACACTGAAGCCTTGGGGTTTACTGTGAAGACTGGAAAGAAATCAGTACACACAGTAAATGGGAAACGACAGTAAAAGAAAAGCCATCATCCAACATGTCCAATATCCTAACGTTACATGTGCAGTGTTTTGACATATCATGTTGACAAAATTTGGAGAAAAATTAATGCAGCTTTTGCAAGAAGTACATTGTATTTCATTCCAGCAAACTGTAAAATGGTTTCACACTTCAAACCCTACCAATTTCAGGAGTTCATCAAAAATTTCTACACAATGATCCTACGAAACATTTTTGAAGTCCATAGCTTACCTGATACAAAATATACGCTTCATATTCTACTCGTGCTGGACGGCATCAAGTCTGCACGTTTCAACACCGCAACCCATTTCACTCTTCTCTCCGAATTTATTGGAAATCTGTAGAACGAAATGCCGTCTTTTTGGCCTTGTCTGTTCGTACAGCCATACGCTGAGCAAGAGATCACCATGTTGTCACGAACAAGTATACAATAGGAATACCATGTCAAAAAAGCTTAAACGATAATGTTTTTACATATGTTAACTGTACAGTCTCCTGTATTCACATACCCCTGCCCAGCTTACATATGAAAATTTCCCATGTGCCTGTTACAGTACGCTGAAAAGACTTGCTTATGCATACTGCCCCTTGACCCTCTTCCGTTCGGCCTCTCAACTTCGCCAAAGGTCTTCACCAGGATCACCAAGAAACTCGCCGCCTATGTACAACAGTGTGATCTCCTCATTTTTTAATACCTAGATGACTGGCTGATTGTCGGTCCCTTCCTCGACAAGGCCGGGGCCTGCACTTCTCTCACCCTCGACATCACAATGCACCTGGGTTCCTCATCAACCACGACAAGTCGGCCCTCGATCCATCACAAAGGCGGACCCACTACGGAGCGGTCCTCAACCTCCAAAAAGGCATTGCGGTTCTGACACGAGAGCACATCCTCAACCTGCGTCAATGCGTCCTTCAGTTTCTATGGTCTGAGGCTCCTCCGGCGTTAGCCTGGCTTTGTCTCCTCAGCTTAATAGCCAGTCTGGTCAATCTTGTCCCATAGTGTCGACTGCGGATATGGCCACTTCAACTGCATATCCTATCTCAGCACCGCCCCAAGAGCGACCCGATTTCTACCTTGTTCTCTCTTCCGTCAGATGTTCGCAATCACCTTTGGTGGTGGACCGTCACCTAGCACCTGTCCACCAGTCGTCCTTTCCTTCCCCTGAGACCGAATGGGACGGTGACAACGGACGCATCGCTATTCGGATGGGGAGCCTCCCTTCCTCCACTCCACGCATCCAGGATTGGGACTCTATCTTTCCAAACAAACACATCAACCACTCACCTATGCTCTTTTAGTAACTAGGGTACAATGCCACTCTGCATATGTAGGCTGGGCAGGGGTACGTGAATGCAGGAGACTCCTCCCCCACATTAGTGTGGGTCGGGTCTCCTAGTGATACTTACCCCTGCCCAGCCGCTTCCGCCCATCCTTTCCCACTTTGGCTCCAGTGGTTTCTCCGCTTCGTAAAGGACAAACATGGCAGCGAGGTCGCAGTGCATCTCACACCACAGCAGTCAACAGTTGTTATGTATATCACACTGTTTGTTGCCATGGATCAACCAATCAAAATTTGAGAATTCAAGTTTGCAGGTTGATAAAGGGTGAAATGAGCCTTGGCAAAAACTGACCTGTCACTTCCAAAAATTTAAAATACATGATGACCTATGCAACTCGTTGTATTTGTATGCCAACAAAAAGTTTTGTAGTTTATAGTAGTCTTTTGATAAAAGCTGGGATAAGAAAACAGAGACCAAAATAAATGTAGCTGTTTACAATTTGTAAATAAATAAGTAAATGAATAAGGAGTAACTTGCATTTATGAATGCATGTTCTCATGTTTGTATGCAGAGTGAAACAAATGTTTATGCGCAAGGAGACCTAGGAACTTTACTTTACTTCCTGCATTATTATGCAGGAAGTAAAGTTGTTAACAAATTCCTTTTTTTATCCAGGTGACTTTTCAAAAACATTACTTGAAGAACACAGAGAAAAAATTCTGACATCTTGTGATGGTTCAGTCAGAAATCATTCAAAAAAAAAAAGGGAACGTGACAGAGGAGTTCCGTGTGTCCCTCGTGGGCCGCATGAGGTTTTTGGAAGCTCGCTGTGTGACGTTTTACTTTCAGGCTCCTTGATATGAATGAAATGAAAGGATTTTTAAAATGAAATACCAAGTTAAACAAATTTTGACTGCGTGACCATAATGATTTTAAAATTCTCTTCTTTTCACATTTTTTTCAGACCAGCTGTGCAAAGTAGGAAGACATTCCACCAGCCATCACATATAATTTTCAGCAGTGGCAAAAGGAACCTGACAAGACTGTTTGACTCGATGAACAGTTGTCACATGCTCAGTGTTGATGTGGAGGTTCACCATAGAGCAAGATGAATATGTCATGTCATGGAACTGTTCAGTTGTAGTACCAAACGCTACTATAATATGAATGAACTCTCTCGTTGACTCAGAAACTGAACCAATTCAAATGTCATCATATGTACTCCAGCTGGAGAGACAAGAAGAGATGAAAAGAAAAGAACCAGTCATACAAAGTGGCAAATGGGTCAGCCGAGTAACAGAAGAATGATGCCTTATTTCTGAGTTGAAAAACAATTTTAGGAGGCAGAGGAATCGGCAAAAGAGGCACAAAAAGGGAAGCTTGAATGGAAGAGAAGGAAAACTCAAGAAAGAACCAAAACTCAAGGAAAACAAGCGAAGTTAGGGTATTGTAAAGAAAGAAAACAGAGGATGCTAAGTGAGAACATAGAAAACAGGAAACTGCACACAACACGCGTCTACAGCATTCATCTGACTCGTAGAGCTACTACTCATGCATATTTCCCTAGAGGTGCGCAATGTCTGCCATCTTATCTTCGCCTTTTTTCTTGGCATCAGATAGTGATGGATCGTAAAATTTTCCGCGTCAGTTTACCCAGTTTATATACCCTATCTGCTTGTGTTTATTTCATCGATTTAATAAAAAGCAGAATTCGCCAATGTCTTGTGTGTCTTCGTTTCATAATTTTGCTCCCAGGTACAAATTTTTGTTACTTTTTCTGTGCACTTGGTTCTTGAAAGAGGACCTCGGCTGGAGCTACCATGGGCCCCATGACACGGGAGCCCTGGCCCCGGTAGAGGCACAAGGTCAGGAGGCATTACCTTCCCCTGGGCCTAAACGTGAATCTGCTTGGAGCACCCCTCCCATCGGCAAAATCCACCCTGGGAACCAGGGACGGCGACCCAATAGACCGGGAACCAGCCTCCATCTCGGCCATGACTTGCGGGTTGCAAATTTTTTTTCCAAACAGTTGTCTTGTGATTGGTCTGTTACATGCATATCCAATGCATGGTTCTTGACCTAACAAACCAAACTTATGGTGGGAATGTTCCTTTCTCACTTGTTATTTACAAGTTTAAAGAAAGAGTTGTAAAAACAAGCAGTGAGAATTCAAACCTGGGATGGAGGATTTCAAGTCTGGAGTATTCCCGACTAATGCACACATAGGCCGCCAAGCTGAATTTAATACCTTTATACCTTATTATATAACCACTCTTTAATGCCTTGGACAGAATTATGAATAATGCATTACCACAGAGGGCACCCTCTTTCAAGTCTGTCAGATCTTGTGTGGGGAAAAAAAATAGGCTGGCGGGTTTTCTTCATGGGACAGCTTGCTCCTCACTTGGGTCCTCACGCGCGCTCTGTGCGTATACTAACTTGCCTCTAACGTCGCCCCATCCACGCACACTAATGCTCCAGGAGACCTTTATGTACAGCCTGAGACTTCAACTTTGGGATTGTCACGGCTTTCCCAATCAAACCGTTCCTCAGATGCTGAGGGGATTGATGCCATGGACATGCGAAATCTATCCCCTTTGAAATACATGTACAACACTGAATCTGAATCATATAGCTGGCAAAGCCTCCATCAGGAAACATCACACCAACTTGAGGTTTAGTTCGGGGCGTGGTGCTAGACGTGTCCTCGGTAGCTTACTTACAAGCACTGAACAATTTAAAAAGTTCAGCTTTAAAAGTTGTATGTGATGTTTTGCCAGATTCAACAATATTAGATGGGAGACTATTCCAATGCTTAATTAATTGTCCATGGAAAAAAGCTGTTGCTGAAGACACTGGTTCTGGCATATAGTTGGTTTAATTTATATTTTTGTCCCCGAGAAGATTATGTGTTTGTAGCGACAAAAGCCTCTGCTGGTACATTGACAATGCTATTCAGAATCTTGTTGAACATGACTAATTAACTGATTTTTCGTCGTTGCTCTAGGGTAAGCCACCCATGAATTGAGAGAAAGTATGTAACTGTCCCTGGTGATGTGCTATAATTGTTGTAGATGAATCTTACAGCCAGTCTCTGAACTCGTCTCAAGTGATGAATGTCTGACTTCAAATGAAGGTCCCAAGATGTTGAGGCATATTCAAGAATGGGATGAACCAATGTCTTGTAGGCTGTTTCTTTGACAGTAGTACTGCTGAACCACAAGTTCCGTTTGATTAATCCTGATATCTTTTGAGATTTTTTCACCACTTCTGAAACATGTCCTCTCCAGGTCACAGCTAGTAATAGTGACGCCAAGATTTTTTTGGGAGTCAACAATCTGTAGGACCTGACCACAGAACTGGTAGCTATGTTTTATACCTTGCCTTAGCCCTACAGATAAAGTGGTACACTTGTAAGGATTGAATTCCATCAGCCACTTTGATTGCCTTAATTCTAATTTATGAAGATCTTGTTGAAGTTGGAGCTTATCAGCATTGTAGATGAGGCAATAATCTGCAAAAAGACAAACGGTGGATGACAAGTTCACTGGGAGATCATTTACGTGTATCAAAAAAGCAAGGGTCCAAGAACTGAACCTTGGGGAACTCCGGAGGTAACTGGTATGGACTCAGAAGCCTGTCTTTCAACGATGACTTTTTGACTACGACCACTGAGAAAGTTGCCAATCCAAGTATACAGTGAAGCAGTAATTCCATAGTGACAGAGTTTTATAAATAAGAGATTATGAAGCACCTTATCAAAGGCTTTAGAAAAGTCCAATATAGCTACATCCATAGTCTTTTTGTTATTGATTTGCCAATTAATGTTATGAAGGGTTGTTATTACTTCGGTTGATCTTCCGGCCCTAAATCCATGTTGACTGTCACATAAGATATTGAACTTCTTGAGGTGTTTCATGATATGGCCGGCGATGATGTGCTCAAGCATCTTGCAAGGAACAGATGTTAGGACGATAATTCAAAGGGTCAGACTTATCTCCTTTTTTAAAAACAGCAGACACATTGGCAGTTTTCCAGGTTGAAGGAACGTCACCACTATCGATCGATGTCTGAAAGACGTCACAGAATATGGGAGCCAGAGGAGCAGCCACAAGTGGAGGTATACTGCAAGGGCCAGGTGCTTTTGAAGGAGCCAGGTCTATTAAGCAGCGTTTGTACACCTGTTGTTGAGATTTCAAGTTTTGATATATCTTCACATTGTATATCTTGAAATTCTACCAATGAAGACAAGTGATCCGGATTGAATGCTCTCTGGAAATGTTTATTCAGTGTATCAGCCTTAGATTTACTGTCGCTGACAAGGATGTTCCCCTGAGCCAAATCTGCAATGCCTAGGTTTTCATTTCAAAGACTCTTGATGTCCGACCAAAAGGCCAGTTTCAGTTCAATTTCAGCAATGTTGCTGAAGTTGTAGTAAACACTAAATGAAGAATATTGTGAGTATTCCCTTGTGACCTAGTAGATTCTCTAACACACTGGGTCAGACCAAATTCTGTGGATATGTCAAGTAACTTTTCTCCTATCATCTTGCTGTATCCTTGCCCACTGGAAACTGTTCCATAATTCCAGTTTATGTTAGGAATGTTAAAGGCTCCCATGACATAAACAGAGTTGGAGTTCAGTTTTGTCTTCAAGGCGGCGACAGATTTCCTGAGCTTATCTAACTGGAGACCCTTTTGATCATTTTGGCACCCTATAGTAGGTTCCAATCAGGATAGATTTGTTATGTGGATGCTTAGATTTGGCCCATTGCCACATTGTCCACGTTTTGGGCCTCTCTGCGTCAGCTGTATAAAAACCTGATCCTCCTGTCAGAAGGAGCCAGACAGCGTCTTGAAGCTCTCCCCTTGATGGAGCCAGATCTCTTCGCTGGCAAAGTCCAGGAAGCAATGGAGGCCAAAGGGAAATGCATCAGTGCCACAGAAAGGATAAATCTCCATTAGTCAGTATTGAAATCCAGCCTGGATCAGATGAAACGTCGAAAATCATAGCTCTTGTAGCCTCT